AGCGCGCTCGGCGTGGGGCGGGTCACGGAGCGGAGCCCAGCGTGCCCTCCCCCCATTTGAGAAGTGGGGACATTTTCTAGGGAACCGTGCCGCATTGGAGATGAAGGAGCCGCGCTGCCTTCGTACTAATGTAGATTTTAATGGGGATAAAACGAACATGCAGGACCGCGAGTTGCTCCCCAATTGTTTTCGAAAACGGGAGATACACACACACACACAGCAGTGTGCCTAAAAAGAGCTGGCAAGGACACACAAACAACTTAACAGTGGGTGCGTTGTAGAATAGTAAGAAGCTAGGAAAATTCCAGGACAGCCACCCAGTAAATCCTATCTTCCCTAAACCAAGGATACTTCAGAGCAAACAGTTTGCACTTCTCCCCAACCAGAGGGTAGTTTAAACCACCCTACTCCGGAAGACAGAAGAAATCTAATTAGTGCCATTTGCCAACCACACCCAAGGACAAATCAAGAAAATAAATCTCGTTTTGGTACATCAGCACAAAGTTGATGAATATTCTATTGATCCAGCTGTAAGACCTCCCCTAAATGCCCAAACTTTTAAACTGAAAATGAAGGTCCCCACCTGCTTTCCCTCCAGGGAGCACACCTTCCATCCTCTCCCCTCCACCCCCTGTTCTCTGACTTCCCAGGGAGCTGGGGCAGCCCAGCCCGGCTCTCCTGTGGCTTCGTCTATGGCGCCCTTCCTTGTTTCACTCCCTTAAGTATATTTTTGCTGCGACCAATAAATTCTTGCTTTTCTACACTCTGTCTCTTGATTGAACTCTTTCACTCAGCAAGACAAGAACCGAGGTCTCGCGGGTAACAGGGGAACTGTGGACAAGCAAGCAGGGAAGCTTATTTTTTGCTGTATACCTTTTGGTATAGTTCCGCATTTTAAACCTAATGAAACATGTCTTTTGTAGGGTTATTGCAGGCATTAAGTGGTTCAAGGGACTATAAACTGCCTGGTACCTGGAAGCCTCAATAAAGGGTGTTAACATGCTCCCAAAGAGTTAAACAGCATTTAAACGAGGTTTTATTTTTAAATTCATCCCCTGACCACAATCTCCTGCTTTGAGCAAGGTGACTGGAAGGAGCTCGGATACACCGGGGCGGGAAGTTTACAGAAAGACACGGGAAGGAAACAACTTCTGAGTGGGTGACGCTGCTGTTGGGTCGGCCCTGTCACACGCTGGGGTTTGTTTACCCTTCGAGGAGGGACCTGGGTGGACCAGTTCGTCGAGGGCCGCCCAGCCCGAGCGGCAGCAGCAGCGCCTACCGGGGCTGGGGGCCCTGGGAGCCCCTTCCCTGACCCTTCGGGCTGCATCACACCGGGAGTCCCGGGACAACCAGGGGGAAGGAACGGGGCTGGGGTGGGAAACACGGAGACACAATCCTTCCGTCGGGAGGAGGCGGACACCACCGGCGCCCGG